ATAAGCTTTCAAAATTTCTGAAGATTTTCTTTCTTTCTTGGCAAGCTAAGGCCTTGCTGGTGTTTGTTGTTTAAAGCAAACTACAGAGATGGACCCTTTTCTCGGAGAGTTTTTCCTAAATCCTCTCAAAGGAGCATTTCTTTCTAAGAAAAGTGGATAACTTTCCCATACCATTGTCTCTCCCTCCCTCCCTTTCTCTAGAAACGCAAGATAATTGGTTAACTGATCAGGAAATTGGTTAAAGAAACAACACTCTTTCCACCTATATAGATACGAGCTGACTGCCTTCGTATCCCTGGAAAATACTGGTGACAAAACTCAGTAATCTTTCACCAGTCCTCCTGCCCCAGTGTCCCATAAAAATTGAGCCAAGTTTCAACAAGACTTCAGAAATCACATTTCAATGGATGCAATCAAAAGCCTAATTCAACAAATAACATAGACTAAAGTATCCAAGCCAAATGAGTTAATAATGAGAGGCAGTCTTTTCAAAGAAGGTTGAACCCTAGGGGGAAAGCACTGTGCAGTATCTGTTCTCCCAGCCTATTTATTCAGAAGGCCATGTCACAAGATCTGGCTGGTGTCTGTCTCAGAAATCAGAACTGTTCCTTCCAGTGAATCTATTCAAGCAGCTTCCTTGGCCATGCGGTTTTGCTTGGCATGCCAATCCCAGGCTCATTATGTGAAAATAAGCTCAAGGAGACTGCCTGGGTTCTAAAGACAGAAAAAGTTCACTCTCCCTGAATCCCATTGAAACAAATAGGAAGTGCAGCATGATCCTAAAATGAACCTCATGTGCATTAGATGAGACTTACTTTTGAGCAAGCATGCTTATCTCTACAATGTTTCCTATTAGTGTGCATAAATTTAAGACCTGCTGAGAATGTCCAGGGTGATTATGATAAGGGACCCTAGTGCCAAGCTCTCAACTTCCCTTTGACTTGATTTCACCCTCTGAATATCTCTATAAACACTACAGATCAATAGACATATATCAACCACGATGTTCTAAATTCAACCTCTACCCAAGAATTGACTCAACCTGAAATGGGGTGGGGGTGGGGATTAGGCAAAAGGTTTTTTGCTTTTTGTTTTAACTCTGCATCTAATTCGATGAATTTCCAGCTTAAGCCAAGAGGAGAAAGGTGATGTTGGCTTCAAAAGAAAAAAGCTTTAACAATTATTGCTGTTAATCAACCATAGGCCAGAAGAGCTTGGCCAAACAGAAATGAACAAACTGCAGTTCAGATCTAATAAGGCCATCAAAAATATCTGCCATGTGCAGTTTACACTGCCATAGATCTAGCTGATGGAAGACACCTAGTATTCTCTACGCAAATGTCAAGCTTCATAACATTGTTGGGGATGCCTTCTTTTATAAGGAATTCACCACCCTGCCTCGAATTATTTTGCCATCACATAGCTGGCTTGCTTGCCAGACTTCGACCTGATGCCGTTTTTCCAGTTATGTCAAAATCTAGCATTCTAATCACCAGCTTTGCAAAAAGACGCAACAACCTCCATGCTTAGAGCTTTGCCTCCCTGCCTGGCTTCCAGCTCAACAACAGCTTTCTTGAGGGCGAGCAGAACCAAAGGTCACTCTGACTATACCTTGATCATGGATTTTTCGTCTTTGATTTCCAAACTTGGGCTCCAAGGAGATACTCACCCTTTGGCGCATTCTAAAGCGAGGAAGTCAACCCTCCAGATCACTTCTTCCACAACCCCTTACTTCTCCTTGAAGGAGTGAGCAACCGGCCTCGCCTTACATGTGCAAATCTGACCGTGGAAAGTGAAATAATATAACGCGCAGATCCTAGAACGTGAAGGGAACAAAGGCCAAGATCTCTCCCCCCATCCCCGTCTCCTGCTTCTCTCCCCCTGTTCTCCCGCTGCGGCTTTGACATTGATCTGAAGCGCGCCATCTTGTGGCAATCGGGTTTCTAAGCAGAGCAAGACCTGCCAGCCAGATTCAAAATCATGAATCTGTTTCACGACCAGTTTCACGAACGGATGCTAGTCCAGACAATTGCCCAGCCACCACACATTTACCCTCCGCCTCGTTTATAGCCGTGCTCTCCCGTATGCAAATAGGCAGGCCGATGGCACTTTTTATGGCCGCATTGTCTCGACAAGGCACGCGGGATGCGCTTTTTACTGGGCCAGGAAATCACCAGCAGCAAACCCCCCGCCACAGACGAGAGGAACTCCATGGCTCTGCCTCGTCATGAATAACTAGTTAATTTTTAACTAGCAGAGGAAGTTGCTGGAGGAACATTTATTGCCAGCATCTATCCATCGCTCTGCTTGTCTGTCTGACCTTCTCCATCTATCTTTTCGATCTCTCCCTTTCAAGAGTTGCATCCCTTTGTGGTATGTTAGCAAAACAAACAGGCAAGCAAGCAAGCTCCCCTCTCTCTCCTGCAGCCTCATCTTTGTACATTTCCTTTGACCAGGCTCGGTCTAGCTCGGTGGGGGTTGCCTGCTAAAGTCCAGAGCCAGCTAGCCCTTCACCTCAAGGTTATGGGTGATGTCCAAAGCAATACAGAAGTTCAAAGCCAATAAACAATAGAGGAAAAACAGTATGTACTTTCTTTCCTGATTCAAAATAAGGGCGATGGGGGAATCAGGGGAATGCCCCCTCCTCACAAAGGGCTTTGGGGGATTTCTAATCCATCTTCAGAGATTAAGAACGGTGCCATTCAACCTGATTTGACCAGACTTAGATATGGAATGTATTGGAAAGAAAACGACTTTCCCTAGAAGTCACAAGCATGTTCTAATCAATATTTCCCGGATCAGCTACAAATGCCATTTCGGTGACCACAGCCATTCCTTACACCCAGATCCTATGCTCAGGCATATAGTGTCTGGAATAAACAAGAGTACATGAACCCAGAAAACATGTGGGTTTCTCTAATATGCTTTACATCTGTAAACAAAAGCATCAAGGCCATAACTTGACTTCACTTAGAGGACTGAATTTTTTGCAACCCAGTCCAATCTGGCCTCACAGTAGTTGTAGTCTGCCTACGCATCCATAAATACCAGACATGCTGGAGTGGCATATCATGACCAAGCAGGAGCAATAGCTGAAGATTTCCACCAAAGCATCTTGCTCAGAAGTCATGGTTCAGATCCTCAGCTCAGCCAAAGAATATTCATGAATGTAACATAAGGATAAAAATATAAATTTCCCACATGTTTATTTTCAGTGTGCGCTGATCCACTGTACACATGCAACAAAAGACATTCGCATATTAAAAGAAAACGGTATATACATATATGATGATACATATTTTCAAACAGTGATGGAATATAAAGGTATTGCGCATTGTGAACTGTGTAAAGAAATTGCATTCATTTTGGGAGCTGGTGGTTTTAAAAACAACATTCATATCTTGCACATGTTGATAATAATAAAAATAATAATTATTATTATTAAAAAGACAAACCTGACACCTTCCAAAGAAAATAACCATTTTAAAAAAAGTATAACAAAACATCATTTTAAAAATGTACAAGTCTTGTAAAACACCATTCTTGTATGAAATATACATTCAGATATTCTCGACAGCAAGTGACCTTTACAATAAAACACATATCCTTTGTAAACTGATATAGAATTTTAAATAGTTCTTTCTTTTTTAAAATTGTCTCTCTCTCACTCTCTTGCTTTGGTTCCTGCAGGGAAATATATTTATTTATATATATTTAAAATAGCTCCAAGGAACTCTCCATAATTTGATTCTGCTGGCTGAGCGGCTAAGTAGGATTTACAACACTAAAAGTGGACAACAAGTTATGAAAACAAATGTGCCATATTTACATTGTTTGTCTTCTGCCTGGCCTTCTAAGGAAACACTAGTGATTTTAATGGTCTGATCTCAGTGCATTGCACACATCCAAGGTCCAATTAAGAGTTGTGTGGTATTTGCCAAACTGTCCTTCTCCACAGGTATTTCCTGAACAAAGTTGGTGAGACAGAAGCCAGAAGCTTCTCTTTACTGTCCCCTCCCCCCATTTTGAAACTATTAGAATAGTCTTTCTTTCTTTCCCCTCCCCCGCACCTTTAAAGCGGTTTTGTTTGGTTGCTTTTAAGCATTTAAATATGTGCATCATGATTTGTCTCCAAAGGGATGGCCCACTTTTCCAGGACAGTTGTTATTCATTAAAAAAAAAAGTGTTTGTCTCTTCAGTGATTGTTTCTTTACCATATATGGCAAATTAATACCTGAACTCTATTCAAAAGGAATAATCGACTGTTTCACATCATATCTTCCTAGCAAATGAGTTAGATTCCACACTCCATCTTTACTAACTCCTATGATTGGTTTTGCAAGGAAGTATTTTTTAAGTGTTTTAATTTAAAATTTTAACTGGTCAGGAAGGCGACCCCTCTTATGGAAGATTTGTCAATCAGGAGGACAGGATGGTGGGCCAGTGGCTGCGGAGTTAGACCTGGGGATTTCTGAAGGTGTCCTCTGCAGTGGTCCTCCACGAGCTTGTATGGTGCTATGTTGTAGCCTTCCGACCAATGTTCCACAGTAAAACCAAGGTAAGGTAATTAAAAACCAACATGAAGCCAATAATTCACTCCTGGGCTCCTCACTTGTGTGAAAACCCTACCAGAAAGAGTTGCATTGTCTATAGGTAAGAGGTATAAAATTGCGCTCAGAGCAAAAGGCATGCAGATGGCCTGTTTGAAAAATGGGTCCAAGGTACAAACAGATTCCAGTTGATATGCAGAGTAGTTTTAAAAGAAAAAGGAAAGGAAAGGAAAGGAAGGGGTGGGGTGGGGTGGAGTGGAGTGGAGTGGTGTGGGGAAACCCAATTTGTGTACATTGGGCTATGGGGAGAGAAATTTTAGTTTTCAGCATCCTCAGTCACTTTAGACACCCCCCTTCCCATAGGTAACCCTATGGCTTGACCTTGTCAAGGGTGAGATCTGAATTTAATCTCATCTTGAAAAATTCTAGGAGTTTTTTGTTTGCTTGTTTTTAAAGTAGCGGATTAGCTGAATAATATTGCAATCGGTCCCTGTTAATTTTTTTCTCTTTCATTCTTCTGTTTTGAAACCATATTTTTACTTGACGGTCGGTCAAGTTGAGCATTCGGGAGAGCTGGAGGCGTTTCTCTTTGTTTATATAGACACTGAAGAAGAATTCCCTCTCTAATTCTCTAATCTGATATTTGGTGTATGGGCATCTCTTTTTACGGGTGCGTTGTCCACCTGTGGAATGAAAAATAAAGGCAGAAGCCATTAAGTCTGAAATCAGATATGGCTGGGGGATGACTGAGGTTAATATTTAATCAAAGGGCAATTCATATGGTGCTTTAAACAAAAAAGGCTTGGCTTATTATTACATAGCTACACAAGTGTGAGGTTCTCTCCTACTCAGCAGCTGTATATATTAATTTAACCTTATCTTAGGGGAATAGTTTGCATGTGCTGTGCCAAACCAAAAGATACTCACTTTGAAGCATCACTTCAAACAATAGACCTGCTGCTCTATCTTGTGCCTGTTCCCTTGGAAGAAAGTCCCACAGAGTCTAAAGGGGCTTACTCCCTAGGAAGTGTGCTTAGGATTGGAGCTTGAGATAGCTAATGAAGGGTGCAATGGACAATGTTTCAAGGTACTCTGTTCCCCCAAAGCATTCTCCTGCCAGAAAGAGGCTTGTGTGTCATGCTTGGAAGGGCCAGAGCAAATGCTTTGTTTGAGAGTTTCAACAGACCTCTGCAGCCCAGCCTGAACAAAACCCACTGAAAGCTTACAGTGCGATCCTCTACATACCTACTCAGAACTGTACACCACTGAGTGTGGTTGGGCTTACTCCCAAGTAAGTGCACAGGACTGCAGACAAGATTGCTTTGTTCATCCTCCTCCTCTCCACCCAAGACTTTAGGAATCAGGGAGACCATATTCCTGCACACTGAGCCTGTTTTTCATCTTAAACTTGGTGTTGCTTTTACATACCATTTCTCTTGTCAACAGGCACCCTCCTCAGTGCTGAAGATAACCATTAATTTCCGGCTTGCTATTTAACAGAACTTCATATTTTGCTTAAAAATTAGCTCCATCACCCCTCCAAGATTCCCCCAGTCTGCTCTTTCTCTCTCAGCCAAACAGAGCAAGTCCCTTCTAAAAGGGATTCTTTATATCCCCCCACTTACGTTTAAACCTTAAAAAAAAACATTACTCGCTTTTTGTTTGTTTTTTTTTAAGTCGCCTTTTCCTGTTACAGCTCATTATAAGAGTATTTTTCTACGCTTTAGTGGGGTGGTAGGGAAAGAGAAAAAGGCACTTGGAAAAAAATCAGGCTGTGACAGATTGAATAACAATTGTAAGTAACAAACTGTTGGACAGAAGGCAACACGTAATTGCCGCAGTGTCTTAGGAAAATTGCTTCCTTTAGACAAAAAGGCCAGCTTTAGGTTAATTTGTTGCTTTTAATATATTGCTACAGCGCAGGCGGCTACTTTATCTGTTAAACACGATTCTCGAGCAATCGTTAAAAACGGGGATGGCTTTGAATCCAAGCTTCTAACTAGACTTCTGGGGCAACACATGGCTTTTATAAAAATAATAAAAAAAAAGTCACGGGATTACATGGATATCAAAGGACTCTGAAATCCCCTTTTGGGCAAATTTACAGGCGCAAAACGTGCATTATTATATTTTCGAGCGTTTGACCACAGCGCCTCCCCCCCTCCCTTCTCCCTCTTTATTCTTTTTGGGGGGTTTATGATTTAAAGGGGGGAACTTTCTCGGGTTTTTGCCTGTTTTAAAAAAGGGCATCCATTGGCCGACGGGTATTTCACGGCCAATTTCAGTCCTCGCCACGTGATCTCGCCTTTTATAACAAAGTTTTGTTGGGGGAAATCTAAAGGCCCTTCATAAACCTTATATGCTTATAAAACAGCATATAAAAATTTAACAGCGGCGGTGTGCTAAGATTTCCAAGTCCCGTCCGTAAAAGCGCGAGGGCGCTGCCTTTATACGTACTGGAGCTGCTGGATTTCTCCTCATTGTTGCCGGAAGACGACGCGGGGCTGCTGCTGCTCTCGGGCGCTCTCCGCCTCTCCTTCTCCTCCGCTGCCGCCGCGCTCGGGGCGCCGCCTGCCGCCGCCGCTGCCGCCGCCGCCGCCGCCGCCGCCGCCTCCCTGCCGCAGCCCGCGTCCGAACTTGAAGTTGCCGCCGAGGAGGAGGCGGCGGCGGCGGCGGCGGCGGCCGAGGCGGCTGCTCCGGGCGGCATTTTCTCGCCGTGCTTGTCCCCGGCATAGTCCGCGTGGCTCTCCGCCGAGCCGTAAGCCGTCTCGAAGAACTGGTCGAACGCCTGCGGCAGCACGCCGTTCCTGCCCACCGTGCTATAGAAGTTGGTGGAGGCGGCGGCGGCGGCGCTGGTGGTGGGGTGGTGGTAGACGCTGGCCGCCGAGCTTTTCCCGAACATCTCGCCCATGCTGGCGGCGGCGGCGGCGGCGGCGGCCGTGTTGGTGGCAGGCAGGCAGTCCCTGTGCATGATCTCCTCCGCCGAGTAGCAGTGGGGGAGACTGGTCCTGGGGTGCCATTTAGTGGCCGGATCAATGGCATACTCCCGGAAGGTGACTTCTCGCACGGGTTGGACCGGGGGTAGGTTGGAGGAGTACGAGTATGTCATGGGGCGAGAAGACGGGGTCTGGGGCAGGAAGGAAGGGAGGCTGGAGAAATCAGGACCCGAAACGTAGTAAGTACAACTTGGCAAATACATATTAGAGGAGCAGGGAACACGCTCATCAAAATCCATCATTAGGGCTACCTCGGGCTCTCCGCATTAGCCGAGCTTAACATGATTCTCTAATGCAGCTGCCTCTTTGAAGCAGATCCGTGAAGTAAGAAATTGGGAGACGTAAAGCTGACGTGGAAATCTATCCCCATCCTTAGCAGGGAGGCGCTGGTCACGTGACCAAATGTTGAAATTGACAAGCTGCGAGTATGGGCCCTCTCTCTCTCCCTCTCTCTCTCTCTCCCCCCCCCCCTTCCTCCTTCCCCTCCTTTGTAGCCATCTCGAGGGAAGCAACAGATCGTCACGTTGGTCTTCTGACTAAAACCCATGAAATCTTAAATGTAGCTCGTGCCTCGTGGACGGAGGGGAAGACAAAAAAGACGCGTCGGCCGTGGCATTTCTCGCTCGCGTTCAGCCACCCTGCGCAAGGTTTCTGTAGCCCATTCGGTCTGGAAGGCAAGCGAAAGCGCCCACTGATCTCTCCCCGCCTCCTCCCTCCCCGCTCCTTAAAAGCATGTTGAACGGCTTGGCCAAGGCGCCGCGAAATCTTGCGATTCTGCCCTGATCTGGTTTCTGCCCAGCGGGGCTCTGCAGTCCATCGGGGTCCTTCAAACGACACTCACCTAGTGCAGGCTTGGGCTGAAGATGTGGCCGGAATAATGTGCCAGGGTCAAGTCTGTAGTGATTTTCATGGTGAATGGATGACACACTTGCATTCAGCTTCACTTCCGAAGGCTCTTAGCGTCTTCCTTCCCATCCCTGCGCATTAACCTCAGAAAGCCCGAGCGCTTGCATCCCAGCCCTGCTCTAGATATTTTTACGGTCCTTTATGCTCCCTTAACCTCGCAAGGCTTTCCCTTTCTCTCTCGCACCCCCCTGCCCAGACCTGGGTTGCTTGATTCCATCGCCGCTTTAATCCCAGGACGGCTGTTGGACTGCAACCCACTCAGGTAAGGGAGCGTTGGCCGATCTCCTCCAGTGAGAAATCCCTAGAGGCTGAATGATCCCTATCCACCCCCGATCCTGGAAGGCGCTCCTTGGAAGTAAGTGCCATCCCTTAGAGAAACCTGGTTTGCGCTATTTTTAAGCCTGCGAGCCAACTTGCAAAAACACTTCTTTAAAAATGGCAAAGCAAACAGAATATCCAGCAAGAAAGAAAAGAGACAAAAGCTGCAAGTCCAATGCAAGCGCATGGGCGTAAGACCCGCTGAGCTGAGTGGCACTCGCTTCTGAGCAAGTATCCCTAACTGTTGTGAACAGCCCATAGCCAAAGCTCTCTGGGCGGTAAAGGAATGTAAAAATAATAATGATAATAATGATAATAATGATGATGATGATGATAATAATAATAATAATAATAATGGGTGGTGCTTCACCAAGCATAGTTCACAGCCAGTACTACTCCTATTAATAATAACCACAGCAAGAGAATAGACCTTGATCAGAGCCAAAGAAAACAGGCAAATATTGCTTAACAACGCAACAACTGCAGGAAGCAAGCTCCAGCTTTCTATAGAGATGTGCTATTTTGGTACTTAATTAAAAGGGGGAAATGTTTTGGGCTGTGGGGGGGGGGTCAAAAAGCAGCACTACCAGGGGGCCACAGACAATTGCTCCTGAAATTGGTGTGGAAAACCAGGCAAATTTTAGTCCAGTGGGTCATGGTACTGATGGTTGGTCTCCTAGAATAGTGTGGAAAAGAAAAGTTGGAATTCTTAACAGTGGGGGCAAGATATTCCACAAATGGTATCTTTCCTCCTTGAAAAGGAAATCTGTTTTTATATATCAAAGTCGAAATGTTCTACTGTGCATTTAGAGATCCTTAGGATTTAAATGTCAGGATCGATTTGTTTATTTATTGCTGAACTTATCGTAACTGACTCAATAACAAATCTAATCATGTTGGGTCCTGGGGGAAAAAATATTCTCATTATGTATTTTCTCTACTTTCGATTTAACTATACTGTGCTGTAAATATCAATATTATTTAGTAATTACTTTGTAGAGGAGTAAATTAATTTATTAGCATTAATGTTTATACGCCTTTTACCCCCTTCCCTGTCTTTCTTTTCTTTCTTTTCTTTTCTTTTCCTTTTTTTTTTTTTTTTACAAGGGTTACCAATCACAAATCAAACGTGTTGGACATATCCCTTTAATGAACTCTTTATTTTGGATTGCTGGAAGAACTTTTATGGGCCTTCAACGTTTGTGAGCTGAACTTGAAATTATTAATTAATCTCCCTTCTTGTCGCATTTGCCAAGAGAGTCGATGAAAATAAGAGATAAGCGTGTCATCAAAGGACCAGTTACAGATTGCTTGGGTCTGTGTGGGACTATAAAATGGTTTTATTTCTTTTCTTTTTTTTGGGGGGGGGGGAGATGCAAAAATACGCAATAGTGATGCTTGCCAAATTGGCTTTAACGAGAGCCTTTCCCTTTTATTTTCCCTCTGTCCCGAATAAAACCGGGCTACCAGAGAATTGCTTCGTGTCCTTAGCCTTTCCTGGTTCTTGATCTGAAAAGATTGTTTGATTCCTTTCTCTTTCTCTCAACAATACAAGGGCTAATCTCTGAAGGTCTCCCCCCCCCCCCCATAACAAAGGCGCCAGCATCGCACAGACTCGCTCCGCCTCTTCTGCCCTAGCAAACAACTTCCTTGCACTTGCATGAGGAGCGCGGGGTGGGGGGGGGGGGATTTGCAAGCTCTCATTGAACTCGGCGCGTCTGGGAGAACCGAAAACAGTTCTAGACTGACCTGGGGTTTTATGGCACTTTTGGCAGTCAACTTCAGCTTGTCTCAGAGCAGACACGAAAGAGAGCTGACCGACGTTAAAGACGCCACCTACATGGATCTTCTCCCCACCCACCCCCCTCCCCACCCCACCGCACCCCACCTTCTCCGGTTGCTTTCAAGGAATGTGCTGCAGTCTTGGAGATCGAGTACAGGGGCAGATCTGAAAGCCTGCGGGTGCGGACTTTTGAGGCTCTGGATTCCTCCGGGCAGGGAAGAGTCTGGTGCGCTTAGTGCCTTCAGACAAAGGGGAAATTAATATTGGTTCTGGAGGGAAGGAGGACAGAGAATGGCGCAAATAGGTCCAACAGACCTCCCCCGCCCCCCCCCCCCCCCCCCCCGTCTCGTTTGGCTTATTGGTTATGGGTTTTCGGAGACGGCTGAGGTGCTGGGCGATTTGGGAAAGTGGCTTTGTAAGGCAAGGAAGAGGTTGGCGGAGGGAGGGCTGCGCGAAGGGCATCCTGCCAAACGCTTAAATCCGTGGAATCACGAGAGACGCGGGCTGAGAGGACTTCGGGGTGCCACTCGTCTAGGAAAATTAGCAGGCACCCAGGACACATTTCTCCGCCTTATTCGCCGCTAAGTGAGAGGCAGCTAATGGGCATCTCGGCTCTTCCAAACGGACTCGCAGTGGCTGCTCAGGTTGCTGCTCTGGAGCTCGCTCGCATGCAGGCTCAGTGCGGTTTCTGCTCCCTTCTGAACGCTCCTTTAATGCAGCCTCTGCGACTTCCTTGGCGAGGGTGGGGGGTGGGAAGGAGAATCGGATCGGTCCCAAAGGCTGGCCACCCGCTCCATTTAGCCCGTTGAAGGCCACGCCAATCAAGGTAGGCATTTACATGTGGAAAGGAAAATACCAGCGACGGCTAGATGTAATCCGGAGGGGAGAATGGGTCTCTAAGAGGGATTTTGCGGTGCTGGCAGAGGGTTACAGATAACGATTCAATGCATGTAAGCGGAGAGCATCCGAGGGGAGCAAGAACGCTGCCGCCGAAGGAGGAGGATTTCTGAAGCGGAAGAATATAGAATTTCTCTTCAACCTTGTAAAGCACAGAAAGGAGCCATTCAAAATGCTTCCTTTGTTGTCTGCAGCTCCCCCAACCCCACATAATATTTGGCAATTTGTTTTCTTACCTATTGCCCTGTTTAAAAATATTATTTGGGATGCCTGAGTACAGAGTAATATAAGCATAGTTGCCTTTCTACAGATATATATTTGGCAACGTACTTCTGAAACTGAGACCATCCCATTAAGCTGCATGTTCTTGGTGGGCCCATGGCACCCCAAAAGAAATCTTAAAAAAAATCCACAACCCCCAAACTGGTGGATTCCCCCCCCCCACTCCCATCTTAACTACTTCCTAAATAGAAGAGGGTAAACTTCACTGCCTTATCCTTTGTTTAAATCTGGCAGATTTGTGCTGCCACAAACTTATGTCTTTCCGATTGCTAGACTGGTTGTAGTTTACACCTAAATAGATACAAATTTTGAGAAGGAGGAAGGATGCGTTGCTCTATTCTGATGTTGGGGAAGGCGCCTGGCTTTCAAATTTTATAGGCTTTTTCAAAATATGAAGAAACCCGTTATAGTTGCACACTGTTTATAAACTATTATTGAGAATGTCATCTTTCCCATTACCCAACCTTTCTCTCATTATTTTCTGCTTGAGCCTTTCCCTAGAGTTCTTAAATGCACACTATTTAAAAATGGGAGCTAAGTACATAGAAAATTCATGGAGCACGATCGGATAAGAACTAAGATGACACTTGCTGAATTGTGTCCTTTATTTGGCGAATTATGAGATATTTAAATACACATGTAAAATAGTAGCATCTTCTGCAGTTCGCTATCAGTGGATTTGATCAGAAATAGTTTGTGAAGTAAGAGTTTTTTGTTCATGCATGTTAGATATGAAGCCAAAACATAAACAGTACTAATTGATTTCTAGTCTATACACATTTACTTATTGTTATGTATACATGTCTAGAGGTAAGTCCCTTTGAATTCAGTGAGACTTATTCTCTGATAAAAATTCATAGAGTATAGCCATAGAAATAAAGGATGGAGCCAATCCGAAAGAAACTACAATCAATAACTTTAATACTGGTGGGTGTAATTAATGCGAACTTAAGGGAAATTAACTGCTATTAATTTCATTTGGGAAATTTCCCGTATTGTTCTTACGCATATAAGACACCCTTTCAGTTCTTCCTCCCAAACTTAAGTGTATTTACT